AAAAACTACTGCAGACAATGACTCTGACAAAAGACGGACCCGTCCTCTCGTCAGAGGGGGCGCCCCACATAAACAAGACCAAAACTGTCAAACAGTAATAAATACGTGGTCATAAGCCCCAGACGGGACTCGACACCAGGACTCACTGACTGACCGTCGGGCGTAATGTGACTTTGACTCTGACTTTGTGCCGTAGTGAACTGTAAAGTGTGTGAATTAATGAAACTGTTATAATTACTTATAGTCACAGATCTGTAAGAATTCGATAAATCCAACTACCAATGGTCTGACACTGAACATAGTCAGGCTTGTCGTCCACCTGATGAAAATATGGCTGTTTTCTAAAATATAGCAAAGAAAACTGGAATGATGGACAGTCCAGAGAAAGAATTTATTATTTATTCTACCTTCCCATCCCTCCATAAATAACAGAAACATTAACAATAATTCACTATGATCTCATGCTACATTACATTTGTAGCAGAGACACAGCATTAAGCATAGGAAGCATGTTCATAAATCCTACAGTGATCAAGCTATATATATATTGTAGATACAGTGACGGAAATTATTACGAATGGTGATTTCGGAATGATGGAGCGGAAGTAGTTACGCCATATTTAATACTCTTGTCATCAAATGATAGAACAGATAGAATAAAATGCATTAGAGAAATATAACACCAAAAGCAAGTAGAATTAAGAAAATGGACAGAATGATACAGTAAAATGAAGAGGATAAAATGGATTCAACACACAGGATAAAACTATGGGACTGGGGAAAATAAATAGAATAAAAACAGATTTATGTATGGTCATTTTGGAGGAATCAAATAGGGGCAGCTATCACACAAAACCCGCGAAATTTTCAGCCAGGATTCCAACTGACAGGATTACACAGACGGAACAGGACCGGGCAGTTGGACGGTCACCGAATACGGATGTTTTGATGCATTATATATATATATATATACTATACAACAGACACAAACGAAGTCAGTTATTTGCCCATAGAGAGTAAGACGTTTCAGAGCCATCTGGCGGTGGGACTCGCCCCAACGAGACAGACTGCCATGACAATGAATGACACGCGGCAGAAGCGCACCTGAGGATAAACCCCGAAGCAGACAATCGCCGTGAGGAGGGCTGGGGACAAATAGAGACAGTTGGCAGCAGGGACACAGAGCGTGTATTGACCAGACAGAAATTTGGCAACACAGAGTCGCGAATTCCAGACAGTGAGGGGAAGATAAGAAAGCGTAAATAACGTAATGGGAGTAGTAGAACAACAAAGGATGGGAAGAGGGTCCCACAGAAGAGCACTGGGTGAAGGTGAATGCGACCTACCCCTCGCATCAAACAGAGGCCCCTTCATGCTGTGTTACAGCTCTTTTAATGTCAGAGGTGGATATCCCAGAGCAGCGGGTTCTCGAGCAAAATCTAGCAATGGCTACGCCATTAGAAGTCATATAAAACATATAAAACAATTGCTAAAAAGAAATGTGTGATTGCTACTATTCAGTCCAGAACCTTCTCATCTTCTCGTCTGCTGTCTAAAAACATTAAAATTAGAATATACAAAACTAAGATTTTGCCTGTGGTTCTGTATGGGTGTGAAACTTGGTTTCTGACATTAAGGGAGGAACACAGATTGACTGTGTTTGAAAACAGGGTGCTGAGGATAATATTTGGACCGAAGAGAGATGAAATGACAGGAGGTTCATAACTTGTGTTCTTCTCCAAGTATAATTAGAATAATCAAGTCAAGGAGGAAGATGGGCAGGGCATGTAGCACGAATGGTGGAGAAGAGGGATGCATATAGGATATTTGTGGGAAAGCCTGAAGGAGAGAGACCAAGACGAAGGTGGGTGGACAATATTAAAATGGATCTTAGAGAGATACGATGGGATGGTATGGCTTGGATTGATCTGGCTCAGGATAGGGACCAATGAAGGGATCTTGTGAACACGGTAATGAACCTCGGGTTCCATAAAATGCTGGGAAGTTCTTGAGTAGTTGCACAATTGGCGGCTACTCATGAAGGGCTCAGCTCTACGAGTGAATGAGTGATCATACGGATTTGAGGTCCTCACAGTTAAACTGAAGTGAAACGAAGCCCTTCACAGATACCCTATGCTCCAGAGGGAGCAAGAGGAATAGGACTGAATGAAAGGTAAAGTTGTCCCTGTGCTTAATTAAGCATCACGCCATGAAAACGCATGTGGGAGTGGAGGTATAGCTTTTCTACTCTTGACCTCGGCACTGGATGGAGGTGAGTCGTCAGCTTCACGTCCCGGCCGCTTTATTTCAGGAGAAAGAGCCCCCACTTTCCACTGGATAGAAAGCTGGGCGGGCCAGCAGAGCCGGTCAGGGCGCGATGAAGAGAAAAATCGTATCCCCTTCCGAGAATCGAACCCTGATTCTCTAGCCTGCAGCAGAGACGCTACAAAGACCGAGTTACAACAGACGGTCAACTAGTAAACATAAAATATCCGCCTTTTATGAAACCTGAAGATTCGCTACCGACACTGATATACGGTAAGTTGGAAAGCACCTCCCGATCAGGGATGCGCCAAGCAGAGCGGACACATCTTTAATACTTTTGCCCAAGATGAGCAGCGACACACACAGGGAGCCTGCACAGAACAATAGAACAATACATGAACGGTGCTTGAAACAAGAAACAGCCGCTGCAGCACATGTAGACACAGAGCAGGTATCCCTGTGATTTAGAACTTTAAATTTTGAATTTTAAAAGTTATATAATTTTACATTTTAAATTAGAATTCTAAAATCAAATTGACGAGCGTATGTTGGCGAGATTTTAAACAAAACTGACAGGCTGGTGTTTTAGATTTTGGATTGTGTGCAGTGTGACAGCTACGTAGTGAAAAATACACCTGATGATGACCAGTTACGGCCGAAACATGTAGCGTAGAGGAAGAAAAGACATAGAACTACAACCAAATAAATTGTTGCATATGTATTATTACATATAGAAGTGTATAGTGCAACAGGATGCTTAAATATAATACAATCAAAGCGTGCTCTTAATAGAACCGTTTATCCGCTTATACTTTAACATATATAACTCCGCAGGGCAGCTCCTCTTGAGAGGCTGACAGTTGTTCAGCTAGTTAATA